GCCTCAGGCAAAGGACCTGTGTCAGGCCATGTACCCGTTATGGGGCTTCATGGGGGTACTGTGGTGGTCGAACTCACCAGCCCTGCCAGGGTTCTGCCCCCCACCCCAGGCAGTGGCAAGGGCGTTGTCGGTCTGTGTCCCCAACTGGCACAGCATGGACCGAGTGGTCAGGATCCCAGACAGCGTCCTGTCATCCCTCCTTTGGTGGCAGGATCCCAAGCTGGTGTTGGAAGGAGTTCCCTTCGCGGCCCCAGCCTCGTCAGTGACCCTTGTCTCCGACACCTCAGACCTGGGCTAGGGAGTGCATCTGGGTGCCCTCGATACTCAAGGTCGCTGTTCCAGTCACAATCATTCCCTGCGTATCAATGTCAAGGAGCTCAAGGCTGTTTGACTAACCTGCCTCGCCTTTCTACCTCAGATGCAAGGCAGAGTAGTCCAGGGCCTGACGGACAACACGGCTGTGGTCTTCTATATAAACAGGCAGGGCGGAGCCAGGTCATCTATTCTCTGTCAGGAAGCCCTCTGGCTCTGGGACTTCTGTCTGCAGCACAACATCCATCTTGTAGCCTTCCAGGAACCAAGAAGGCTTTGGCAGATTGCTTCAGCAGGACATTCTCATATCACCACAAGTGGTCCCTTCATCCAAAGGTGGCCAGTTCCATCTTCCACAGATGGGAAACTCCCCGGGTAGACCTGTTTGCGTACCGGCAGAACAGGAAATGCCACATCTTCTGCTCGATTGGAGGCATGGTCAGAGGATCCCTGTCGGACGCCTTTCTGCTCCCGGGGTCAGGGGCTCTGATGTACACCTTCCCTCTGGTGCCGTTACTACCCAGGGTCCTCACAAAAATCAAACGGGACAGGGTGAGCATCATCCTCACAGCACCGGCGTGGCCACACCAACACTGGTTCAGCACTCTGATGGACCTCTCGGTGCCAACCCCGTTCCAGCTACCGCTCTGGTCAGATCTGTTGTCCCAGAACCACGACAGTCTTCTGCACCCCAACCTGGCAGTGTTATATCTGACCGCTTGGCTGCTGTGTGGCTAAACGTGCAAGAGCAGCAGTGCTTGGCTGAGGTTCAGCGCGTTCTGCTGGGAAGTAGGAAGCTCTCCACCAGGCGACCTACATGGCCAAGTGGAAACGGTTCACCTGCTGGATTGCGGACAAAGGTGTTCATCCTGAGTCTCAAGCTTCGTGATTTGTCCCTCTCATTGATCAAGGTCTATGTAGCAGCCATCTCAGCCTTCCACCCACTGTTTGAGGGAGGTCAGTTTTTGCTTAGAATATCACAGCCAGATTCCTTAAGGGCCTGGAACACCTCAATCCACACATCAGGGACCCTGTCCCTCTGTGGGACTTGAATCTGGTGCTGTCGCAGCTTGTGGGTCCTCCCTTCAAGCCACTGACTTCCTGCTCCCTCCTTCTGCTGGTCATGGTGATGTCGGCCTGCCAGGTATCCAAGATTCGGGTGCTCATCTTGGAGCCTCCTTACACGGTCTTCTACGCAGACAAGGTCCAACTAAGGCTGCACCCGGGATTTCTTCCCACGGTAATCTCTCAGATTCACTCGAGCCAGGACATTTACTTACTGGTCTTCTTTCCAATGCCGCATAGATTGGAGGAGGAGTGCTGGCTACATGCCCTGGACATCAGAAGGGCTCTGGCCTTCTACACTGACAGGATCAAGCCGTTCCATAAGTTGACGCAATTATTCGTCCCTTTGGCCATCAGAATTAAAGGTCCTGTATACACTCAAGGAATTTCTTTTGGATCACTGCCTGCATTCGCTTCTGCTACGACTAAGCAAAGGTGCCACTCCCTAGCGATTGTCACTGCCCACTCTACCAGGGCGCAGGCCTCTTCGGCAGCCTTTGTGCTTATCTAGGACATCTGTAGAGTGGCCACTTGGTCATGTGTCCACACTTTTACATCCCACTATGCCCTGACCCACCAGGCCTGGGAGGCTGCTGGTTTTGGTAGGGCAGTACTGCAAGCCACTAAGTTATGAACTCTGAGCCCACCTCCGTGGATGCTGCTTGTGAGTCCCCTAAAATAGCATTGACATGAGCAAGCACTTGAAGAAAAAACAGTTACCTACCATTTTGTAAACGTTGTTCTTCCAGATGTGTTCATATCCATTCCATTTCCTGCCCTTCTACACCTCTGTCAGAGTTGTCAGCCATGAGGAACTGAGAGGGTGCAGGGCCGGCGGCATGGGAATGCCACTCCACCGCATGGGAATGCCACTCCAGGGGGTGCCACAGCCAGCCCTACACATACCGCTAAGGCAGAAATCTCAGACAACTGTGCATGTGGGCGCTCACACACCTAGAACAGAAAGGACATGAGCAACACACCTCAAAGAACAATAGTTATGAAAAGGTAGGTAACCATTTTTTGTAGAAAAGTTACTCCAGAGGTAAGAAGCAGGATTGAAAACAAAATGAAGATGATGCAGCTGCCTTTTATATTTTTTGCCATGTGGCTTGTACTTCCTTTGTCCCAAACACAAGCTTCACAGTACATGGCACGGAAGCCTTAGACACTCTGAGTTCTCTGTCCACAGGCATACCACATGCTTTGCTGACTCATAAGGTGTCTTCCCTGGTCCTTTCAATGGGTTCATTGTACAGTTGATGACCCTTGATGGGTCATTGAACAGGTTAGGCAGTGCTGATGCCAATCTGCCTGGGAGCGTCACCCAGAAACATCACAAGTTTGGAAATACAGATATACCATACATATCTATAACTTTACTTCTTATAGTCCAGTAAACCTTGAAATGCCCCTTTTGAGGTGCCTCACCACCAGCAGACTCTTCTTCCCTGTTACTTGTACTCCCCTGTGCTCCCCCTTTTGGGTTCACATCCCTCTTTTCAACCTGTTTTTCCTGTTAACTTCACATGCAAATAGAGGTTCCATTGTGTTGGTTTTACAATGCTTCATTTACTTCAGCAGCAGGGATAGGTGAATAGACATGCTTTTGTCTGGCAGAAGCCCTGTTTGTCTGCCATGTAACAGAATTTTAAACATAATTTCAGGGTATATAGGTACACATTTCCTTATAGAGTGTCAGTACATGCATTTCTTACTTATATTGATGACCAGTGTATCATTGGCTTTCATTTGATAACTTACTGAGCACTTGTTTGATAAGTACTATGAAAGCAGTGTGTTGGGTGTAATGAGTTTGTCAGGCCTGATAGGAGTTGCTCACACAGAGTACTGAACCCTCTGCCATTGAGGGGATCCTAGGGTCACACCATGTCCTTCAAAAACTATTTTAATAGATATGGCAACAACTGGGATAAAAACAACTACATCTAATGGATGTAAAATACTCCATTTTGCATCATTTACTACTGTAAGGACCAAATTCATCCCTGGGGTAATGCCACTGAAGTACAGTTGACTTAACACAAAGGATGAACTTTGCTTTATAACCCTATTGCTCATTCTCCTTTGTTGGGAGGAATGGGGGTAGTGTTCTGAATTTCCGTACAGTGTATATAGCAATTTAACCAATGCAAACAGTAGCACAAATTGTACAGCTACCATTAGATTGACAGCGATTTAACTTTCATCCCTAAATTGTTCTCTCTGACAGCTTGAGCCCACAGATTTCTTTTGCATGAACCATAAAGTAAGTGTGTGTGTGTGTTTAATGCTAGAGTATATTAGGTTGGAATGAGCATTGAAATCGAAAACCTTTTGGGCTCAGGTCCTCTCACACCATTCTCTTCCGTACAAAGACGAGTACATTTCCATTCTTTGATGTGTCTGTTCATTCTTAAGTGGACCCTGGAATGGTCTTCCTTGTTTTCATAATCTTCCTGACCAGGCTTCAACATATCTCACATTTAGTCTTTTTTCTCTGCTTCCTTTCTGGCTTTCTCTATCTATAGATCAGTAGTTTCAACTCTGTCCCTCCACACAGTTTAATCACTGTTAATGGAAGAACTTTCTTCTATGCAGTTCTTGCTACCTGGAACAACTTACCTGAGTCTCTTCACCTCATTAACTTCTCATCTCCTTTCATATCTCAGCTGAAAGTATCTCTCTTCTTTCTTACCTTCCACATGTGACTTATAGTCTCACCCTCTGCTGTTACCGAACTCTCCAAAACTTCATAGGGTATTGTTTGTATGAGAGATATTATATAAAATAGAGTTCTACTGCACTGTCACATCACCAGACTGAGTATTTGACACATTCTTGCCCATTTTAAAAGTGAGTTTAAGGAGTCAGGGCCTTCATCACAGCAGCCTGCCCAAATTCAGTTTAGGGAGCTACCTTGATGTTTGTTAGATACAATAATCTCTATTTCCTATCCTAAACTGTTGTGCAAGATTGCTGGATGCTCTTAAATAGCTGCTGCCTTCCTGAGCGTATGCTAGGTGCCTGCATTTTAGTGGTTGGTAAAGTGATTCTGGAATTTGTCATCTCGGAGCCTTTGGGATGCAAGACACTGTATAAAAATGTGAGAAGATGACGATGATAGTATTGAATGGACTAAATATTGTGACACTTTTAGCCTTATGGCATATCAAGAGTAATGCTTTTTTATTTTGGTTGATCTTGAACGGTGTGTAGGAAGGGGATAGAGAGATGATATAGAATGGTAGGTGCAGACAAAGCTGAGGTAATTTCTTCTCTCTTCATATTAGTATCTAAGGGCCAGATTTTAAAGGTATTTAGGCACCTAAAAATGCAGATAGAAACTTAGTGGAATTTTCAAAAGCTCAAATTCCCCCTGGTTTCAGTTGGTGTTAGTGTGATTTTTAAAAGTGTGTAGATACCTGAGTGCCTATTTGCATCTTTAGGTGCCTAAATACTTAGAAGATCTGTCTCTAAATCAAAGGCCTCAAACACACTGAAGGTTAAATTCCACTTCTAAGTTATCTGTAGGCTGGGGTGTACCTTTAGGATGATGTACTCCACTAATCCACTGTTTTAACATCTGTATTTCTTTTGGTTTTACTTCTCTCATTTCTAAGACTAATCTGGAAGATGTGAGACAAAGGTTTCGTCCCATAGAAGAGCTGAAGAAGGAGTTTGAAGAACTCAACATGAAGATAGAAACTGATTTTGAAATTATGGTGAAATTAATCAACAAATTCAATAGCTCTACTTCTACTCTGGATGAAAAAGTAGCAGCACTGTACGACCTTGAATATTATGTTCATCAGGTGAGGTAACAAAAAAAATTAACAGTTGTTGTGTAAAATCCAGGGAATATGGTATCATAAATGTGGTTTTATTCTTCTTTTCAGTAACCGATAATACATATTACTTAATTATGGCAATCCAAGGACAATAAGCGATTTCACAGGACAACTGCAGCCTTATTTTGTATCTGCATTTCTAATACATTATTATTCTAAATTGATAAAATATAATCACTGTCGAGGCCAAGTTTTCACAATTTGCGGTGTGTTCTCAGCCCTCTGTATGTATCTATCTTTTTGCATGTGGTTGATGAAGATGGGTTTTATTTGCCATTTGTGTGTATATTTGTACTGTTGAAGTTATTAGTCAGTGCCCTGAATGCCTTGCAGGGTACAGGGATGGGTACTTTATAAATATAAATAAAATTATTATTCTTTTATTATTACATGAAAGGCATCTGTTGTCCTGCGTGACTAGGGTGACCAGATGTTCTGGTATTACCCTGATATGAGGGGCTTTGTCTTTTATACAGACAACTATGCCCCTCCACTATGGAAAAAAGAAGTGTCCTAATTTTTTTCATACTTGCTATCTGGTCACCCTATGTGTAACCCTTCATGATTATCTCTCCTCATACGTCTCCATACATTATATCAAGAAAGGGAACCCACGCATGCTCACACACATACAGAAAGTCCATCTTTTAGCTCAGAACGACTTAGAAATGGGATGTAGAACCTCTCAAATATGGGCCCACAGGTGACCAGAATTTGTTAGACCACCAAATAGCTGTCTGATGGTATGTGAAATGAGTTTCAGTTCTCAGTGAACAGTTACCCATGTCCCAAAAATCATTTTCAGCACCTATTTGCTTTCTTGTGTACAATCTCAGTGCAGAGACCAAGGACAGAATGGACCTTGTAGAGAAAAGTACCCTCTTATATCACATGCAGATGTGGTTCTGACACATTTGGTTTGAAGCAGATTGACAGAGGCAATATGGGGAAGCTTGCAATACTGTTCTCAGTGCTGAACCTTCTCTGGGGAGTTCAGTCTCTAAAGATGTTAATCTGGCACCTTTCACTAGCATGAAATGTATTTTAAAAACAGTTTTTGGGAGAAGCAAGGTCTGATGAGAAGCAAAGTCCATCTGCCAAGCTGCAAAAGAAAAATCTTTTCAAAGTAGTATTTCCAGAGCTTTTCATCTCCTATTCCCATACTGAATCTTTCTCACAGACATTCACAGAGTGGCAAACCTTGTCACTCTCTTTCCTTGCAATACTTTTGCTGCTATGTGCACCTGACTTACTCAAAGAATAAACTTTGACTGCCAATGCCCTAACGGCTGGTTATATACACTCCAGGATCAGGGGGAATCAAGTTCAAACCCTGCAATTCAGAAATGCTCGTGTAGATGGTAAGTTCCCGTTCTGTAGGACCAGAGTGGTGAAGGGAATCTTACCCAAACACAAACAGGTGGGACTCTGAACTACTAGAAGAGAGAAAATGGAGGGGAAGCTGGAATATGAATAGAGGATAGCTGCAGTTTTATGGGCAGTCCCTCCATGTCCCACAGGCAGCTATTAAGAAATACGCCCGCTGAGGGGCAGGTAATAACTTTTCCTCCTCTTTCTTCCTCCAGCTAGTTGAGTGCACCCAGGATGTTCTCTCTATTTAATATTAACTTTAGCAACACTTGCTTAGTGTAATTACTGAAGGGCAGCCAAATACGGTCTTGGAGCGTGACACAGAAAAGAATTAGTCAGGAGTTCTCTGTCCTGTGACTCAGTTACACCAATGCAGGCTGATGGATCTGAGTAGCAATCCTTAACAGGACATTACAGAAGAGCGTGGAAAGCAAGAAGGCAGGGCTACACAGATCTATTGAGGAGAGAGATTGGCTCCATTCCTTCTTCTTTAACAAGGTGATGTCCCAGCAAGTCTGTCAACCTCCAGAGTCTTTCAACCTTAGTCCCTACTGCACCACCAATGCGAATACTCCAGCTCCTGTGTGCTACCCTGTACTGGCTCCTCCGTCCTTAGAATGCCAAGGGTACTGTTGATGGGAAGCCCTGGAGTGGAAAATCTTTTGTACTGTGAGGTTTCCTAGCAGAGTATTACTGTCTACTCTGAGGAGCAAGTCATGGGGAAGTCCCAGATTGCTGGCACATAAGCAGTGATCAGTCCTTAGGATGTAGCAGAGAATCTACTGAATGTGCTGAGCTCAACCTTAAGAATGTAATCAGGGGAGAAAGCAGTGGTAAGGGGTCAGGGATTGGATTAGATTGGGGTTGGGTGGTAGAAGGACTGGATTGGGAGATTTACCCAACTTGATCTTTCACAGAGAATCAGCCCAGGGTCACGGGTCTTCTCCAGCTCTTATTTTGCCAGAATCAGTTGGTCCTGTGCTAATCAGGATTCAGCTTAGTGTGTTTGGGTAGCTCTTGAGAGACAGAGAATGTTGTGATGTTTTCTGTAACATGCAAAAAACAAAGCAAGTATAAAGAAAACAGAGCATAACTCATTTATGAACAGAGCCCAGAGTGTTCACACCCCAGCGCACACAGAGCCTAGGCCCCTTTTTATAGTTTGCAATCTCATTTTTCTCTCTCAGATTATTTTCTCTTCTTTCCTTGTCTTTCTTCCTTCCCACTTCAGAACTGCAACACCATTTTACGGTGTTAATTTCCTCTCCTCTCTGTCTTATTGACAGTCTTCTTTTCTCTTGTTTCTAATATCTCCTCTATTTTCTCTCTCTCTCAATCTCTCCCAATTTAAAGTTTGCTCCCACTGTGAGTACTGTCATATTTACTTGTCTCCCATACCCCCATCTCCACTGCATGCTTGCTTTATTGGAGTGCTTTTATGAACTTGGGCTTTCTTCTCTGCTGTTTTCAGTGGGCTGGAGCTAAGCATTAGCTATAACAACACTGCATACATTGCTCAGCAATGCATTCCCAGCTCTGCAGGTAGGTTAATGCTTATGTGCTTTAAAAAAAAAAAAGAAAAGAAAAGAAAAAACAAACAATGTGAGGAGTAGCAGTTTTCACAGCAGATGCCAAGGAACAAAATAAGGTTAAAACATTTTTTAAAAAAGTTTGTATATTGTTTTTACAATTTATACTCCAGTCTTGTGACTTGGACACCTTTCACTGGAACTGGAGGTAGAATATGGGACTCGCTCCCAGGTGAGAGTAGAATGATGACTGCCCTCACTGTGATCAGTACTAAATGCAAAACTCATGTTTTTTGATTTGGCTTTCCCTCATTAAGCTCTTTATATAGACATATCTGCAAAGTGTAAACTAACCAATTTATTGTTCCTACAGACTGAGAGAGACTTGATATTTCTAGTTTTAAGTATTCTTAAATATTATGGTGATTGAGCATGATCAAGGAGATTAGATTAGATTTATATTGCAGTTAAGATCACTCTAGAGGAAGGTTGACTCAGAGAAAGGAAAGGAGATACATGAGGTCAGGTTTATAGAAAAATTAGAAGAATGTGATCCAAAGGACTGAGGAAAAAATGGTTGATGCAAACGATAAATAATCTCACAACTGGACTCCAAGGTACCATTGATTCTTGCTGAGGAGCAATAAATTGCCAAATGAAATGTTGGGTACCACCTCATAATGAATTATAGATAATGCATGTAAACCTAAGCCCTGATTCAGTAGGATTTAGACAGTGAAGTCAATGAGGTTATATTAAGCACATGGATCAGTGTTTGTATGATTTGGAATCTTGCTTTAGGTATTTGACCCATAATCAATTTTGTTAAAGGAACACTGTCAAGATAAAAATATTTTACTAATAAAAATTTAGATTATTAAATTTGAAACTAATCTGCTAACTCTGTTGTACTCTAGAGTCCAGCGAAGGGCAACAAAAATGATTGGGGTCTGGAACACATGACTTATGAGGAGAGGCTGAGGGAGCTGGGATTGTTTAGCCTGCAGAAGAGAAGAATGAGGGGGGATTTGATAGCTGCTTTCAACTACCTGAAAGGGGGTTCCAAAGAGGATGGCTCTAGACTGTTCTCAATGGTAGCAGATGACAGAACGAGGAGTAATGGTCTCAAGTTGCAGTGGGGGAGGTTTAGATTGGACATTAGGAAAAACTTTTTCACTAGGAGGGTGGTGAAACACTGGAATGCGTTACCTAGGGAGGTGGTGGAATCTCCTTCCTTAGAGGTTTTTAAGGTCAGGCTTGACAAAGCCCTGGCTGGGATGATTTAACTGGGAATTGGTCCTGCTTCGAGCAGGGGGGTTGGACTAGATGACCTTCTGGGGTCCCTTCCAACCCTGATATTCTATGATTCTATGATTCTATTTGGAGTATTTTGTTACTATTAGCACTTCAGTCAGTTTAGTCAGGGAACCTGGACCGATCAGTTTTACCTTGTCGACCCAACAGTCATTTTTGGTTGTTTTTCAGCATTTCTGTCTCCATCACCAAACAGGAATGGTGGGAAATCTAAAAACAAAAAGTTCCATGAATATACAAAACAATTTTGAAAATTCCTTGAAGACTGCTCTCTAGTAGATTTTTGAAAAAATCCTTCTTTTAAATTTAGCAGCAGTAAACTTTGCACTAAATAAGCCTGAACTGCTTGAGACTCTCCCTTTAGGTAACAATTGCAAACTACTTGCAGGCACTTTTCTAGTGTTGATTCAGATTTATTTTTCCCTCCTTTTCCCCTGTGGTAGCCCAAAATCTTTTTCAACTCAAAGTGCAGCAGATGAATGTAAGAATATTAGAACATAGGAATTGCCATAGATGATCAGACCACTGGTTCATCTACTCTGGAATCCTGTCTCAGAGTGGTCAGCCCAGTACTGGCTGCTTCAGAGGAAGACACAAGAAACCCTGTAGCAGGCACTTATGGGATAACTTGCATCCAAGGAAAGTTTCTTGCTAGCCTCTATTAATTCGAGGTTGGCTTCTACCATTCAAGTTAACACAGTACCTTGGACTATATTAATGTAGAATGTCAGGAATAGTTTGTCCGTCTCTTGCTTTAACCAGAAGCTTAGAATGTGAAGTTAGTGCATTATTGCTGCTGCTGACAGGCTGCTTGACAATTATTTCTAACACTTCAAGCCTGCCAATTACAGCTCACTTTGTGTATATGTATAGCACACAATTCCCTATGTTCCCAATAATGGCCTTCTAGTGTGAGAATAAGTGAGAATTTACTTTGTTTTGACAGTGTCAGGTTCCCTGAGTTAACAACACGTGTCAGGGGAAAGTTTTGATAGCTAATCAAATTATTTGAATTTTCAGTGATGCGTTATATATTTGATAATAGCCACCTGTCTGCGTATATTATTTCTGGAAGTGTGGAATGTGATGCTCACAGGGAGCAGTGTATGATTTATGAGCCATGATTTTTTTCTTCAATTTTAAGAAGCTTTCAAAACAAAATTCCAGATAGATTTGGAAAAGATAAAATTGATTTAGATGTTATGTTATGTTCTAAAGTACTCTGCTTGAAAACTTGATGGGAACCCAAGTGATGCATGTTAAGTTTTACATTAGTGTGGAATCTATTCATTCATAGGTGGACAATGCAAAAGACTTTCTTTCCTTGGGTGGACTTCAGCTTGTGATTAATGGAGTAAACAGCACCGAGCCTGTGCTAAAGGAACATGCTGCCTTTGTCCTGGGAGCTGCACTATCTAGGTGAGCAGTGTGTGTGTGCTCACTGGGAACGGGGCTGGGGGAGGATGAATGGGAAAGAATAGCTTTTTAAGAGATCAGATAATCGAGATACTTTTCTTCACCTTTCTGAACAGATGGGTATTTTATCCTATCTGGTACACACGAAAAATTCCCAGGCTAGTGGAAATGTGACACCAGAGAAATTTCCCTTCTCTTCTCCTTCCCTTTGTCTTTTCTTCACTTCTCCAGGGAATAGTTCATTTTTGAATAGTGAGACTGTTACATCAGATATACTTTAGTGTTCTGGGAGAACACAAGTCAAGGTTATGAATCCAGGGGCCTAATTTTGCCATTGAAATGCACATGTGTAATTCCCATATTAAAGCTAAACTTGCATTGGAATTGGTGTCAAGAAACTGAACAGATGACAGGCTGATCTGAAAGGTGTTTATAACACACTGAAAGATGGCTACCACAGAAAGGAATCCATTTTGCCTCATGCTACACTGTGTTCTAATGTTCTTCAAATTGTAGGAATGTTGGCAGCTTGGGTTTGAATGTTGGGTTTTTTTAAAAGCTTTTATAGTGAGTGTGGTGGGGAAGGGATGAATATGAATAATACAGAGAAGTCAAGAAGGCTGAAAGCCAAAAACCTTTTTAAATCCCCCCCCCCAAAAAAAAAACCAAAAAACAAAAAACCCTGTTTGTTCTTATGCCTTGAAATATGGTCACACTTTTTACATCATCGTGAATTATTTGTCATTTTTTATTATATAAAAGCTAGCATTTCTTTTAGAGGCTTATGTACAGTGAGACAGATCCTAAACTGGTGTGAATTGGCATACTCCATTGACTTCAGTGAAGTTACACTGATTTACACCAGCTCACAATCTGGCTCACAGTTTTCAGACTGAGCTTGAATTTTTGGTCTCAGTGAGCTCTACCAAGTAAGCTAAAAAAAATTTCAAAACTCAAAATGAATTCATGTGATAGACTGGTTTCTTTGTCAGACATTCTCTCAGAACAGAAATGCAATCCCTTTTCTATATTCTGATAATTTAGAGTACCATTTAAAACTACAACTTTAGTGGCTTTATTGGACTTTCTGCTAAAGCGTAGAACTTTAATTGTAAGTTTTACATCTGTCATAGATGCAATGCAGGGAATTTGGAAACATTTAAGGGCAATCTGAAATACAAAGGGGAAAATTTTAAATCACATCTTCCCTGAGAGAGCTAAAGCAACACAGTCATGACACAATAAATTAATGATATTGTGATCTGAATGTATATAATTGGCTACTAATGCATGTATATTTTTTCTCACTAAATTAGAAATGCCTGTTGTGGGGAAGAAGTATATCTTTTTCAGATATGGTACTAAAGTACTGTTCTTGCAAACATTTAATTTTTTTTAAAAGAGCTTTCTGACAGATGTCAGAGTAACAGCCGTGTTAGTCTGTATTCGCAAAAAGAAAAGGAGTACTTGTGGCACCTTAGAGACTAACCAATTTATTTGAGCATAAGCTTTCGTGAGCTACATCCGATGAAGTGAGCTTATGCTCAAATAAATTGGTTAGTCTCTAAGGTGCCACAAGTACTCCTTTTCTTTTTCTGACAGATGGTAACCTTCAGTGGTTCAGATGATGTACTGTCTCATTCCTTCGTTCCCATATTTGAGGAGCTTTTTATTCTTTTTACCTGGCTGTGCTTAAACTTTCTTATTAAATAGACATTTACATGCCGACATGTTTAGTTTGTGATATCTGGTTAATTTATTTGCTGAGTGCTTATTTTGTGTTTAAAAAGAAACTTTTTTTTTCCTTTTTAAACTTTCCTCAACACATTTTTTTGCATTGTTTTTTTCTAAATCAAGATTATTATTACTATTATTGTTTATTAAGCCTGTGTTGTTGCATGGGTGTGGCAGTTAGGTGAAGATAATCCACGTTCTGTGCAGTCTCCTTCATACAACCGATGAATGTGTTGCGTGCACATTAGCAGTAGAATAAGGGTGGTGATTGGGTGAGTTACCTCTGATATCACAGTGGTCTAGGACTCTTATAATTCATGAAGTCAGAATGGCTGAGAACTTAAAAATTAGGTGGTAACAGACCCTGAATCCCAGTGATGATTGAACCTGGTGATATTCTAAATGAAAAGAGCTCTCAACCATGCTTGTAGCTGTCCATCACTTCACACTGACTCAACGGACATTCTAGGCTTCTGAGTGACACACAGAGAGAGTGGCAATCCTAGAATCTTCTTCTTTGTTTATTTGTATTGCAGTAGTGCCTAGGAGCCTCATATATGGATCAGGATCTCCTAGACGAACGCAGAACAGAAAGACAGTTTCTGCCCCAAAGAATTTACAGTCTATTTCCTGGTCTACACACAGATTTTATACTAGTATAACTATTTCAGTTATGGAAGTGATATTTTTTTAACCAATTTAGTTTCACCAGTGCAACCCCTGGTGTGGACACAGCTATACGGATATAAAAATCCGTCTGCAGGTGTATCTTAGTCTTCTTCCCATACAGGAATAAGCTATATTGGTATACATACTTTTATACTGGAGTAACTGTGAACACACTTAAGTGTATTGTACTGCTTGTAGTGTGTGTGTGTGGTGTAAATGATAAAACTTTTGTGTGTAGACAAGGCCTCAGTATAATACAAGAAACAATAAGTAGGTACAGACAGACTGGTAGAGGGGAACAAAAGGAAGCCTGAGATAATAGGAAACAGAAGTTCTAGGTTCTACTTCTGGCTGTGCCGCAGACTTCCTGTATGACTTTCATCAACTCATTTACTTTTGTTTGAAGGTAGCCAGTTGAAATAGTTTTATTCCATTTTAGATTAATTGAAACCAATTGTGGTTTAGAACACTAAATTGTCTCAAACTCTGCACAAATCTCAAACTGAAGACCTTTCAGCTTTAAAATGAATCAACTTATTTTCTTCAAACTTGGTTTGTCTTTAACTCTGGCCACAGAAAAGTATGTTTTTTCCAAACGTATTCAGATTTATTCAGAATGATGTTGCCACTCCCCCCTGAGGTGCAGCAAAACCACAAACTTCCATACCTTTGACCCAGTGATATTTTGCTGTCAGTGAGTTCTCGAAGATCTCTCGCTCAGCTTACTATTATCTTTTACTGGAGACTGTTACTTTTGTATTGTCAAAAGTGTGTGTGTGTGTGTGAGTGAGAGAGAGAGAGTGCCCTCTAGTGGCTGGGTTACAGTAGCTTTGTGCTACAGGCTTGTGTTTTTGAAGTAGAGGGTCCTGGGTTCTATTCCTCTTGCCACTCATGTTGTTTTTATGTATATGGACAAGGTTTTGTTTTTTTTTACAAGTCTAATCCTACTGATGTACTAATCAAGTTGTGTGGTTGAGAGGAGAGAGTGTTGTTGTGGAGGAATGCAAGAGTTCATCTATTGTTTTTTCAATTAAGGCGTTAGTTTTGAGGCTCTGGAAAACTGGGCTTAGCCACCTAGTCCGTGATCACATCAAGTGTTGTTCAGTATGGTCAGATCCCTTTAAATAGTACCATTATTTTAACTACTGCAACTTGCTGTTTTAAAACCTCAACAAAATGTTTTCCGTTCAGGAGTTTGCAGAACTAAAGTTAATTTAAACAATTCTCAAGTGTTGTGATTGCAAATAAAAGTTAAATACACTAACAAAAATAATTGTTAGGCTTGTGCTATCGTACATTTAGGTATCCATAATTCACTAACAGTATATGCCAATATACAACATTATCTGGATTGTCAGTGATTGCATTAGCATAAAAGCATGTTAACATTTATCCAGTGCTGCTAAAATTTAAATATATATAAGTATAAAATATTAAGATTTAGCATTCTGGAAGCAAGTAAAACTACTGTATGGAAAAAGCTTCTGCATACTTTTGATTGTACACTGGAGTACCATCTGAGTGACAGAGTGTTAGAACCCGAAGGTAATCAAGATTCACACCACTGGGTCCTAAACATCACAAAAATGTTAATGTTTTATGCAAAGAGGAGCTATAATAAGCTGAGAATATTTCCAATGAGAGAAGAGTCTTCTGATGTCCTGAGACTATTTACAGCCTGTAAAATTCCTCGTTGTGTAAATCAGATACAGGGAAGCCCATGGGCAAATTGCATCTATATGTTTCACAATATCAGATATAAGTACAACAATAATATTTTTGTGTACTATCTCAGTCTTTAAAAGATTTACATCAGAGAACATTTTTTTCACTTTTGGTAATTTTTAAAATTAAATATTTGTAATAAAGGCATTTTCATAAACAGTGTACAAGGGGAAAATAAACTATTTTCAGTTTACAGTGCATATTTCATCCCAAGGGATCCCAAAGTGCTTTACAAACTTAACAAGCTGATCCACTGCTGAAATGCAGCCACATATGGGATAAAGTACAGCAGATGTTTAACAATGCATAATGACAGATTTCAGAGGAACAGCCGTGTTAGTCTGTATTTGCAAAAAGAAAAAAGAAAAGGAGTACTTGTGGCACCTTAGAGACTAACTTAGAGACTAACTTAGAGACTAACTAACTAACATCTGATGAAGTGAGCTGTAGCTCACGAAAGCTCATGCTCAAATAAATTGGTTAGTCTCTAAGGTGCCACAAGTACTCCTTTTCTTTTAACAATGCATAGCGGTTTGACACAGTAGTTTAGGAGAGGAGTGATAATACCAAGCATATTTATATAATGCTTTTCCGCCATAAGTCTCAAAGTAAGTGTCATTGTCTCCATTTAACAGACAAGCAAACTGACACAAAGAAGTGACTGGCCCAAGGCCGCACAGCAAGGCATTGAGAGAGCCAGGATTAGAACCCACATTTCCTGACTCCCAGTTCTGTTCTCTGGGACACACTGATTCCATATCCAAAATACCTAGAAACAAATGCACCCATTTATGTTTGGGAAAGCACAAAGTGTTCTCGCATCAGAGGGGTAGCCATGTGAGTCTGGATCTGTAAAAGCGGCAGAGAGTCCTGTG